GCTGACCTACACACTACATCAAAAAGCTACTTGTGGATCAAAGCCTGGGCAAGCATTTTTTAAAATTCATGGCTCAAACACACAAAGCTTCTACGATTCTACCAAATGTAAAAAGAGCAGGCTTTTATGATTCTAGATTCTAGGATTCTTTTGCTGTTGCATAAAGGCTTATCAAGACTGAGTCTCTGCCAAGCCCTGTGCTGAGTGCTGTGGACCAGAAAGGGGCCTCAAGGAGCTCAGTCTGGTGGGGAAAGAAGAGAGAATAGACACACCATGGGATAAGCACTGCAGTAGAGGCACAGTAGGGGCATCCTGTGGACCTGGACAAGCAATAACTCATTTTGCACAGAACAGAAAAGTCAACAGGGAAGAGTGGACAGAGGACAAACTCAGAAGTTAGACAGACAAGCTGTGTGATCCCCTCAGCTACATGGCCTTGGGCAAGTCCTTAAACCTGAGCTTCACTCAGTTTTCTTGTTTGTGAAATGGGGCTAATACTCCCTATTCCATAGTGATTGTTGTAAGGCTTAGAAATAATGCACATGAAGGATCACAGCCTAAAGGGGGGCTCCACTGTTTATTATTTCTCAGAAAAAGTGATTCTTTTTTAAAAATATATTTGATTGATTATGCTATTACAGTTGTCCCATTTTCCCTTTATTCCCCTCCACCCTGTATACCCCCTTCCACCCACATCCCCCTGCCTTTAGTTCATGTCCATGGATCATACATAAAAGTTCTTTGGCTTCTACATTTCCTATACTATTCTTACCCTTCCCTTGTTTATTTTCTACCTCCCATTTATGCTACTTATTCTCTGTACCTTTTCCCCCCTCTCTCCCTCCCACTCTCCCACTGATAATTCTCCAAGTGATGTCCTTTTCTTGTGATTCTGTTCCTGTTCTATTTGTTTGATAAGGTTTTTTTTTTGGTTGTTAATAAATGTGAGTATGTTGTCATTTTACTATCCATATTTTTCAATATTTGTATTAGATTAAGTCCCTTTAACATTTCATATAATAAGAGCTTGGTGATGATGAACTCCACTAACTTCACCTTATTTGAGAAGCACTTCATCTGCTCTTCCATTCTAAATGAAAGCTTTGCTGGATAGAGTAATCTTGGATATAGGTCCTTGCCTTTCATGACTTGGAATACTTCTTTCCAGCCCCTTCTTGCCTGCAAGGTTTCTTTTGAGAAGTCAGCTGATAGCCTATGGGTACTCCTTTGTAGAAAACTGTCTCCTTTTATCTCGCCACTTTTAAAATTCTCTCTCCTTATCTTTAGTCTTGGCTAATGTAATTATGATGTGCCTTCATTTGTTCCTCCTTGGGTCCAACTTCTTTGGGACTCTCTGAGCTTCCTGGACTTCCTGGAAGTCTATTTCTGTTACAGAATACAACTCAGCCACTTTTGGATGTATGGAGTGGAACTTTATTTTAAGCGTGCATGGACCCAGAGGAGTCAGTCTCCAAATTCTGGGCCCTGAGCAGTGAGGGAGCAGTTATTTTTATAGAGCAAGGGAGGGCCCGTCCTTTGGACCATTACTACTGGTACAAAAGCAGGAGGCAGCTTACAGAGGCAGAAGCAGAGCATTATCTCTGACATGCAGATGATAAGCACTCCAGAGAAGCCAAAAGAAAAACAACTGGGCTGCAAAAACAAATCACTCTTTAGTGGCTGTGCTGTGTCTTAAAATAGCTACAAACTTACCCCAACATTTCCTTTGGCAGATTAGGGAAGTTCTCCTTCATTATTTGTTCAACTAAGTTTTCAATTTCTTGCTTTTCCTCTTCTCCTTTAAGTACCCCTATAATTCTGATGTTGGAGCATTCAGAGATGTCCTGGAGGTTCCTAAGCCTCTCCTCACTTTTTTGAATTCTTGTTTCTTCATTCTTTTCTGGTTGGATGTTTGTTTCTTTTTTCTGGTCCACACCATTGATTTGAGTTCTGGTTTTCTTTCCATCACTGTTGAGTCCCTGTACAGTTTCCTTTATTTCACTCAACATGGCCTTCATTTTTTCCTCTAATTTGTGACCATATTCAGCCAATTCTGTGAGCATCCTGATTATCAGTGTTTTGAACTGTGCATCTGATAGGTTGGCTATCTCTTCATTGCTCAGTTGTATTTTTTTCTGGAGCTTTGATATGTTCTTTTATTTGGGCTTTTTTTTTTTTTGTCTCGGTGCACCTGATACATAGTAAGGGGCCGAGCCTTAGGTGTTCACCAGGACGGGAAATCACATCACTGCATTGTGACACTGTATGTGAGGGAGGGGTCCAAGAGGGAACAATCCCACTTATTCCACTCTCTGCCAGTTTTCAGTCACTTCCTCTGCTCCTCACAATCAAATTGGGCCTTCCTGGTGCTGATTCCTGGGTGTGTGGGTCTATGTAAATTCTAGGACCCTGTTTGTCTCTCCAATGAATTCTCCCATGAGACTGGGAGTTTCTCCCACAGCTGCTTCAACCTCTGCACGTGTTTTCAATTGAGGTTTGAGGCTTTATTTCCCTGTGCTGTAACCCTGGGTGTGTGGTCTGTCTCACTCCCCAGTTGTTCCTCCTGGTTTATCCACATGTGAATGTGGACCACCCCATCTGCCAGCTGCCGCCTTGCAGGGTCTGCCAGCAACTGTCTTGCCTGCCCTGGCCCTCTAGCTGCTGCCCCGCTGCAAGTCCACTCATCCCACTGCCTGTTTCCACCCCTTCTACCAGTCTGGATGAATGTTTCTTCTTTAACTCCTTCATTGTCAGACTTCCATACATTTTGATTTTCTGTCAGTTCTGGTTGTTTTTTGTTTTAAAATTAGTTGTTTTCCTTCTTTTGGTTGTGCAAGGAAGCAGAATGGTCTACCTGTGCCTCTATCTTGGCCAGAAGTCCCAGAAAAAGTGATTCTTGATGAATGCTGGAACACAGATGGAAACCCAAAAAGCAGACCAGGAAGAAAACAAAGCCAAGCAGAGAAGAAGTACCACATGTGCAGAGGTCCAGAGGCCACCATTGGACAAGGTGCTGCTGAGGAGGTTGGCAAAGGCCAAACAAAGGAGCTTAGCTTGATTCTGGGGCACCGAGAGTCATAGCAGGTTCCTGAGCAGGGGAGGGACAGGACCAATGTGTGGGCTGGAAAGATGTAGCTTCTAGCCACTGTGCACAAAAGGAATTGGAGATACTGAAAGGGTGAAGACCAGTGAAGATGCTCAGTAATACACAGCCATGATCCAGGGAACGCTGGCTGTTGGACCACAAGTGCCACCTGTGCTGAGGATGCTGGCACGTAGTACTACCCAGCCCGTGTGGGGCAACACATACATGGATGGGAGCAGGGCCCTGCTATCCTCTGGAAACTCTTAACTACAACGTGCTGCAGGTAACGCAGCCTCGTTCATTTCTTCATTCAGCAAATGTTCACTGAGCATCTACTGTGCACCAGGCAGTCTCTTCATGCTGGGGCTTCAGCAATGAATGAGACAGTGTCCATGCACTCACAAAACTCACATTCTGGTGGGGGATGGGTGCCCAATATATAAATACATGTAGAGTATGTCAGGACCACATCACTACAAGGAATGGTGATTGTTACACCCCACATGAAGAAAAATGAAGGATTCCCAGTACCCACCTAGGAAGGAGAGCCAGGATGCAAAGTAAGGACTGTACAGCTTCAAGTCCCATCCTTCAGCTCCTGAAAGCTGCCTCCCTTTGAAGAGGTAATATGTAAAGCATACCTTCCAGTTACTGGTATCCTCCCTTGAGCCACAAGGCCCACTCACAAAGATTTATTGAGCACTTACTATAGGCCAGGCACTGTTCTGGATGCTGTGAATATAACAATGATGTGGACAGGCATGATTTACAAGCTGACAGGGAAGACTGGTGCTAAATAAATGTACAGAGTTAGTTGCAATTTAGTCACAATTGCTATGAGTAGCTACAAATAAGTAGCAGGTGTTTGGAATTACTGTGGGAGGGATTCTAAACCTGGTCTCCCTGAGGAAGTGACATTTAACTTGAGACCTAAGGTCTCAAGAGTTTGTCAGGCAAAGAGTGAGGGAACAGATTTCCAGTTTAAGGGAACAGCATGTGCAAAGGCTTAAAGAAGCAAAGGAGCCTGGCACACCTGGGGAACTGAGAGGCCAGTGTGCTTGGAACCCAGAGACAGAGGGAGAGTAGGGGTGTGGTGCAAGACAAGGCGTGCAATCAACAGGGCCAGACCCAAAGGGCCTTCCCAGCCATGTTAAGAGCACATTAAGGATTCTGGGCACAGCTTGGGCTCCAATCCCCCCCTGTGTACCTCTCACCTGCTCTTCTGGGTCAAGCCCCCTGGGCCCAGAGTGACTCTCCATCTATGACTTTCTCTCCAGTCAAGAAATTTCTCAACCATTGAAAGTGTGTCTTATCATCGCTTCCCCAGAAATTCTCCTGGGACCAAATCCTGGCTCTCCCAGGAAGCATTTGGCAAGGTTTCAGGAACCACTAGGTGGCTCATGTTATGTTGGAACACTTACTAAGTGGATGAGCCAGGGTTATCCCCACTTTACAGGTAAGGAACCTGAGAGGGTGAGAGAGAAAGCACACACAGCTACCGTTTTCTTTTACACCTTATTTCTCCCCAGTATGTGGAACTGGGGGAGCCACAAGGTTCTGGCTGTTGAGATTCTGATTCTAAGATCACATGACATGTGCACGAAGATGCTAAGGTTCAGGGAATGGTGGAGATTTCAGGGCTCTAAAATTCCAAGATTCTGAGCCTTGGCACTCCCCTGAACTGGGTGTCTGCTCTGTGCTAGGTAGTGCAAGCCTGGAGTCGCAGGCACCACCCATTAGCCTCTCTCCCCTGGGTCTTGTGGGTCCCATCTTCTGGACTAGCTGGAGGATGGGTTCCTGACGCCTCCCCCTAATCCCTTAGCCTTGGGACTCAGGTCCCGCCCAAGAGTAGAACTTCCTGGTTGGCTGATACCTGGGGTGAGCAGCAGCTGCGGCAGCGGAGGACCCCGGAACCATGGGGTGCACGCGGGACGCCATCCTGGAGGCGCTGGAGAACCTGACCGCCGACGAGTTTAAGAAGTTCAAGCTGAAGCTGCTTTCAGTGCCCCTGCGCGATGGCTACGGGCGCATCCCGCGGGGGACACTGCAGTCCATGGACGCCGTGGACCTCAGCGACAAGCTCGTCAGCTGCTACCTGGAAGCCTACAGCGCCGAGATCACTGCCCAAGTGCTGCGGGACATGGGCATGCAGGAGACCGCGGAGCGGCTGCAGGAGATCACGCGCAAAGGTGAGCGAACCCCGCCACGCCCTCCAGAATCTCCTCCGTCCCCCAAGATCCCCTCATGTACACCCAACCCCCAGCCCGAACGTTTGCCCCTTGGGCTCTTTCACTTTCTGTTCCTCCTACCCTCTAATGAAAACTCCTCCTGCTGGGAAGGGAAGTTTCCCGCGTTTGGTCCTGACTGGCCTCCTGACCGAAGGGCCCCTGACCCCACTGGGACCCTGGAGGAAAGAAAGAAAAGGACGAGAACCACTTATTCCCTTACAGACTCTGCAGCCGTGCCAGCCCACATCAAGGCCCCTACCCGGACCTCAGCCGCGTCATCAGGTGAGGCCTTCACACCCAAACTCGGTTGTTCTGGGCACCTCACCAGCCCCATCCCACCACACCACACCCCCGCATAGCCTGTCTGCTCCCGCAGCCAAGAGAACCCGGAGAGCGCAAGCCTGAGCCAACCCCTCCCAACCCACATACCCACACAACTCCTTGGGCCCAGCCTGGTTGAGGAGAAAGGGAGACCAAGTTATGCCCACCCCACTCTATCTGGTGTCCTGGTGGGCTGCCCGCCTTGAGCTCCACCCCCTGAGGGTGCACTCAGAGCAACTCTGAAGAAAGGAGTGTTAGCAGGGACAGGCTCCAGCACCCACCCTGAGCGCCAGTTCATCTGATCTCCTCCCTCCTGCTCCCAGGACTGCACTTTGTGGACCAGCACCGGGCAGCCCTCATTGCACGGGTCACAGACGTGGATGGGGTGCTGGATGCTCTGTACGGGAAGGTCCTGGCAGAGGAGCAGTACCAGGCTGTGCGGGCGGAGCCCACCAATCCAGGGAAGATGAGGAAGCTCTACAGCTTTGCTCCAGCCTGGGACCTGACCTGCAAAGACCTACTCCTTGAGGCCCTAAAGAACACCCAACCCTACTTGGTGGCTGACCTGGAAAAAAAGAGCTGAGGCAGCAGCTGGAACTCACAGGGGTTGGTGTGCTGAAAGAATTGATTTTTTTAAATACACAATGCATAAAAAACCAGCGTGTACTTGTGTGGGTTTTTCCTACTTCCAGCCTGGAATGACATGCAGAGCTAAGCTGTGTCTCTAAATGCTGAGGGGGCTCAAGGGAAATTCTACTCCACTGCCTTTCCTGGGCAACAGGCTCCCCAAACACTTCATCCTTCCTGACTTGGTCACTGTTGAGAAGCACCATTCCTTCAGTCACCATCGAGGAGCATTGGTCCTAGAAGCCAAGAGTTTAAAACAGTGTTCATCAATAGTTAAATGGATATATAAAGTAGTGGTATTTCAAACATTGGAATGCTATACAACAGAAATGAATTGTTATAACCATGTACAATTATAGGGATAAACCTTGAAAGCATTGTAGCACAAAAGAAACAAGGGTGAATAAATACAGTCCAATTCCATTTATATAAGGTTTAAGTGTGGCAAAAATCACAGTATGTAGTTTAGAAATCTATATATAGATGAGAAATCTATATACTAATAGATGAGAAACTACAAAGACACACAAGAAATTATCACAAATGTCAGGATAGTTTAATAGCCCTAGAAAAGAAAAAGTGGTTGTGAAGTGTGCTCTGGGGTGCATTTCTTGCCCTAGGTGGTAGTCACAGGGATATTGCCTTTAAATTATTCTTTAAAATGCACATCTAAGTTATAAGTGCCTTTTTGTATATAGGACATTTTAAATTTTTATTATTTGTTTATTAACCCTCACCCAAGGATTTGTTTATTGATTTTAGAGACAGGGGAAAGGAAATAGAGAGAGAGATTGATGTGAGAGAAAAACATTGATTGTTTGTCTCCCATACATGCCCCAACTGGGGATCGAGCTCACAAGCTATGTATGTGCCCTGACTGGAGATTGAACCCACAACCTTTGGTGTATAGGCCAATGTTCCAACCAAATGGGCCACCCGGCCAGGGCAGGACATTTTTTAAATACTGGAAGAGATAGGAAGGTACCTAGAATGGTGCTTGGCACACAGTAGATACTTAATAAACACTTGCAAAGTGAATGAAATGATCCAGTGCTGTAGCAGACCCTTCCTTGGTCACACAGTAAGTGGCAGAATCAGGATGGCTCTCAGGTTGTTGCTCAGAGGCCTGGGTCAGAAGCTTGGTGAAAATGAAATCTAAGTGGTAAGACTTTACTGTGCTAAGTGCAACAATCAAGTGTTCTCAAGTCCTTACCAGAGATGTGTGAGGGTTGGTGTCAGGTTGAGTTCCTGCTAGGTCTCAGGAACCCTCAAAGTGGGGAAGAAGGGAGTTACTAAAACTTATGGCCCAACCATATAATCCTGAAGTTCCAGCCCAATTACTTTTTACAGGGTTACAGAAACAGCCACATCATGTAGATCTAACACCCAAGGTCTTGGTGAAATTCCTTAATCCACCATCAAAGTCTTCTTCACCTTATCCACACATTATAATGACCAGATATTCTCCCTGCCTAGTCCTCTTGGGTTGATGACACATTAGTGGGTGTGGCACAGGACACTCCAACCAGGGAGCTGCTTAAATGTTCATGATACTCTGAAAAAAAATCTGATGGACTAACAGATGTGGACATGCTGCTTATTACTCATATTACAGGTGAACGGACAGTGGCAGGTTGGTATGAGAGAGAACTTTCCTCCTCTAGTCTGAGGCTCATTATAAGGGGTACCAGACAAAGGCAGCATGGGTCCAGGTTGCACAAACGTGCATGTGGCCCATCTGTGTATGGCAGAAGGGAAAGGTCAAGAAGCAGTCACAGGGCAAGAAGGAAATAAGGAGGCAGTTACAATCCATTCCCAAAACAATACACATTCCTTCTGGCCAAGGGACTCCTGGCTAACCCTTGTCACAGGTGGCGGGAGAGCCATGTATTGAACCAACACTGGGCATGGAAAATCAGTTGAAGGCCAGGGAGGACTAGACCTGATAGGCCCAACAGTTTCCACAATCTCCTGACTGCCTCTCAGTTGCATCAAGTCTTGGGAATGTTCAAGAATCAGACCCTTCCTTGGAGAAGTTAGACTTCAATTAACTTTTTCAAAATGCAAATCTCCTAAAAGACTTTACCTTGTAAATTCATTAAGAAAACAGTCTATACTTCCAGTCAAGATGGGAACATAGGTAAATATGGCTTGCCTCCTCATACAACCTCATCAAAATTACAACTAAAATATAGAACAACTATCATTCAGAACCATCAGAAATTGAGTTCAATAGAAGTCTGACAACTATAGAATTAAAGAAACCACACCTAACCACACTGGTAGGAGGGGCAGGGATAGAGACTGAGTTGGACCCACACCCACATTATGGTAGATAAATATTTGGGAAGGATATCTTGGGAGTGAGGAGTCCCTGCCCCACACTATGCCCCCAGCCCAGGCTTCTAGTGCCAGGAAGATAAGTCCCCATGACTTCTGGCTGAGAAAACCAACAGGGATTTTGTTGGTGAAAAACACTTCTGGAGTCCCAAGCAATTCCCCTTAAAGAAGCCACACACAAATTTACACAGAAGTGCTCCCTCTGAGCTCCAGCACCACTGGGGTAGCAGCTTGAAAGGCACCAGTGGCATACAGAAAGAAACGGAAGTATCTGGCATCAAGGCAAGAGTTGTGGAGACAGCTTTCTCCCAGACAGAAAGGTGAGCAGAGGCCGTTGTCATTTTTCTGAGCTCTCAAACCACAGAGCCACAGACCCACAGAGCCAGCAGGTGGGTGCCATACCCGAGACTCCATCAGCCTGGCAAACACTGCCTTGCTCTGGAGATCCCCTGAGACTCTGTCCCACCCAACTTACAGGCCCACTCAAGCTGTTAACCCTGAATTTTCCATATGAATGGCTGGCCTTGAATCATGCTCCCTATTTCCTAAATCCTATCAAACATGCAACAGCTAAGTGGCCCCAGGCCTGGCAGTAGCAGCAACCAGCATAGATTCACATCTTGGCTTCACCTGGGGATCTCCAAGCCCAGCACAAGTAGCAGTCATCTCAGATTGCTTTAGAGCTTAGGCCGGCTGACCCTGGGCAAGACACAGGCCCAGGCTGACCTTGGCCTGTACCACCTGGGAAATCCCAGAGCCTGAGAACCCAGTGGACAGTTACAGAGCACCATTATCCAGCCCCTGCACAGCTAATCCTCCACAGAGGGTGGAGGTTGGTGGTCAGGGGTAACAGCCAGTCCTTGCAACTGACTGAACCTGGGTAAATCCCTCCTATTGATGTGCCAACAGCAGCAAAGGCTCAACTACAAGAGGGTATACTCAGCCCACATGAAGGGCACACCTTGAGGACCCAGCTGGGGTGATAGAGAGTCTATACCACTGGGCCCTACAGGACTCCTACTACATTAGGCCATGCTAGCAACACAGGGAGTCATAGCAGATCTACCTAATACATAGAAACCAACACAGGGAGGCTGCCAAAATTAGGAGACAAAGAAACATGGCCCAATGAAAGAATGGACCAAAATTCCAGGAAGAGAACTAAACAAAAGGGGAATAAGCAATCTATCAGATGCAGAACTCAAAAACTGGTTATAAGGATGCTCAAGGAAATTAGTGAGGACCTCAACAGCATAAAAAAGATCTTGTCAGAAACAAAGGATATACTCATTGAAATAAAGAACAATTTACAGGGAAACAACAGTAGAGTGAATGAAGCTGGGAACCAAATCAATTATTTGGAACATAAGGGAAAAAAAGCAAGAAGAAAAAAGAATCCAAATAAAGGAGGATAGTATAAGCAGCCTATGGGAGAAGCTCAAGAGTTCCAACATTTGCATCACAGGGGTGCCAGAAGGAGAAAAAGAAAACCAAGAAATTGGAAATGTATTTTAAAAAATAATGAAAGAAAATTTTCCTAATTTGGTGAAGGAAATAGACATGCAAGTCCAGGAAGCACTGAGTCCCAAACAAAATAGATACAAAGAGGCCCACTCCAAGACACATCATAGTTAAAATGCCAAAGATTAAAGATAAAGAGAAAATCTTAAAAGTAACAAGAGAAAAGAAGGTAGTTACCCACAGGAGAGTTCCAATAAGGTTTCCAGCATATTTCTCAAAAGGAACCTTGCTAGCCAGCAGGGATTGGCAAGGAATATTAAAAGTCATGAAAATCAAGGACCTAAAGTCAAGATTGCTCTTCCCAGCAAAGCTATCATTTAGAATGGAAGGGCAGATAAAGAGCTTCCCTGGTGAGAAAAAAATAAAGTAGTTCATCAGCACCAAAGCATTATTATATGAAATGTTAAAGGGACTTAGTTAAGAAAAATAAGATCAAAACTATGTACAATAAAATGGCAATATGCATATCTATCAACAATTGAATCTAAAAAACAAGCTAAACAAACAAGAAGAACAGACACAGAATCATGAATATGGAGAACATTTTCATGGTTGCCAGATAGGAGGGCAATATGAAGGAGAATGAGTGAAGAGGTGAGGGGATTAAGAAGTACAATAGGTAGTTACAGAATAGCCATAGGGATGTAAAATACAGTATAGGAAATGGAGTAGCCAAAGAACTTATAAGCATGACCCATTGATATGAACAATGAATGGTGTGTGTATTGCCTGAAGGAGTGGGCAGTGCTGGGTGGCAGGGAAAAATTTGGGACAACTCTAATACCATAATCAATAAAATAGGATAAAAAAGAAAATAATATTTGCTCTTATCAGAAGATTCACATTTTTAAGAAAGTTGCTGTCATCAAATAACAATGACAACATAGAAACTAAGGGGTATCAGCTCCATCATCTCCTCTGAGAAAGTGGAGACCAGCAGGCCTTAAGGATGATGTTGGGAGCTGGGAGGACATATGTAAACCTCAGAGTGGGGGGAAGAGATGGGGAGAGGAACATTTGTTCTGCATTCTTGGCACCCTATTGCACTGTGCATACCCCTCTAGGAGAGTTAGTGTCCACTGAATGTCCCAAAGCAGTCTATCATTATTTGGAAGATGCATATGTTAGAGTAAATTTAATGCCAAAAAAGTTACTGTGAGCCCTTGAATGC